GATACAGAGAGAACTACCAGGCCACTTGAATGAGATCTGGCGTGTCTTGTGCCCAATGCAGTACTCATCCACACTAATGGGCTCAGCTCTGAGCACCGTCCAGGCCTGGCCCCCACTCACATCCACATCACCTCCATGTGCTTCCCTTTCTGTGTTTCCCCAAACTTGAGATTCCTCAGATTCCTCAGGAATCGTTCAGAGGATACCTGGCTCAAAACCTAAGATCCATGGAGGTCAGGTTGGCAACACTCTTGCCCTGGTGACTGAGACGGTGCCTTCTTTCCAGATGATCAATGAAAGGAAAACCAAAATTTAAAAATTATTATAAATAGGGACTTGCAGACCACTGAGAATATATCAGCAGACTCTTGTTTAAGAAACCATCTTAGCTTATCTTAATGAGTATTCCGTTACTAGGTGTTTTAAACTATACTTTGTTATTTAGCCTGGGTCTCCAGTTCCACATGCTACATTGACAGGTGCAAGGAAGAGGGGATGTTTTGTCCTTCTGTAACTGCCATACCCTTCCTCCTCCACCTCCCCAGTCTGCAGAGCCAGCAATATAAACTAGCCAATCCAGGAACTCTAAGCCTCTTCTGATTTCAACATCTTTATCTCTTTAAAATCATCTTTCCTCTTCTAGGTAAATAATCAACCCTCCAACCCTCCACTTCCTCCATGTTTGCCATCTGGGGGTGCCTGAGGGGGAGCCTCTGGTGTCCTTGTGGCTGCAGGGCCATCTGAGGGCTGAGATCGGTCCTTGCAGGTCTTCTTAGTGATGGGGCCCCTGTTCATGAAGTTGTTCCCGCCCTGCTATCATCTTAGGGCTTGAGAACCTGTGGTCTATTCCCTGTGTACAAGGTCAGAACCTGGTCCTTCTCCCTCGGGCCCTATCGTGGCTGTCACTCTCATTCCCCACCAGACCCAGGGCCCTGACTGTCTAGCCCCAAGGCAGCCCTTCCCTCCCACCGTAGGAGTCCCTGGGAAGCTCACCTTCCAGCACCACCCACGGTCTTCCATAAGCCCACTTCTGGATATTCTCTGCTTCACACAGGAGCTTGGGGGACCCAGAGCCCTTTAGGTCTTCCTCTGAAGCCTTTCCTCAGGGTCTGAGTCAACTCTGCTATAGCTGCCCCAAATTATTACGGGCGAAAGGGCCAGAGACCACAGACAGCCTATGAGGCTCCTCCTCCCTGAATCCCAACCAAAGAACAAGCAAAATCCAGCATTTGAACTTTAGGGAACCTCAGCCTCTAGAAACCTCTGCTGTCTCTCCATAAAATCTGGACCATGCGGTCACCATGTTAAAGAGGTGAGCTGAACAATGATCCATCATCTGTTCGTTCTGGATCTATACTCTTTTCTCTAGGGTAAAATGCTTAGGCTTAGCTAAGAAAATGAAGAGGCGAGGGAATGCAGTTTTAGTGGGAACTGAAAAACATGAGTTTCTTGTTTTCAAAATAATGTCCCCTTCTACAGACCAATGCCAATCTGTAAAGTGGGGGCATTGAGACAAAGCACCAGCGGGCAGAAAATTCTGATTTTCAACCAATTATGGAAAATATTTTCTGCCCAGATACACATATTGCTGATAGTTACCCAGCTTGATTTTTTTCTTTTTCCTGTCACAAAAGTTTCTTAGAATTTCCACTGTCTTTATAATGCTCTTGGTAATCTGTTTGAGTCACTGCCCAACACTTTCATAGTCAAGGTTCCTTTGAAGTACAAAGAGAACATTCTTCAGGCTGGAGATTCTGCAGATCCTCATCTTCTCTACATGCTGGGTCCAGGTTCCCAACAGACCCTGGAAAACAACTGCCCTTCTCCCTCTTCCTCTGAATTCAGCTGGAAGTCTGCCATCCTGTAATCAAGTAACATGTATTTATCTATTGTTGTCTCACTAGGAAGTAAATTGTGTGTTCTTTTCAATGTTTCTTAGCCCTTTGGGGGCATAGGTGCCAGTGAAAATCTAATGAAAGCCAGGACCCCTCCCCCTAGAAAAGTGTGTGTGTAAATCGAAGTCTGCACACAGTATCAAGGATCCACAGGCCCCAAGCCACAGACCCCCGTTAGCTAAGACCCCAACTGAACGTCTACTGCCCAGCTCTCATGGAGACTGACATGAAAATCAGTATGTGGGGAAAGCGTGTAAGTTTATAACATGGAGTAGGGATGGCTTGCATCCTTTGTAAGATCCATTTCTTTGAAGATATATTTGTTGATGTACTTGATAAATATTACAGGGCCAAATATTACTTAGTAAGCTTTGAAGCTGTGGCGACTTTGATAAGGATGCTTCCATCTCTGTTCATGGTATCTCCTCTCCTGATGTTGGATCCTAGTGCGTATGCCTACAGTGTTTATTGAACTCCAGGGCCATCATTTAACATTCGTACAGTTCTCAACACTCAGATAAAACTTGACATATAAATCCTGATCATCTCTAGGAGTTCATTCTTGAAGAGTTCACTCAGCTGTCAACTTTGCTTCTTTCTCTCCCGACAACATTCATCCAACCAACCAGGTGAGGGTTCCCCATGATCCCATCAAATGCTCATGTGTATGCCTTGCACACAGTGTGTCAAGATGGTGTCTCTCCATCACACTGTGAATGCCGCCAGAGCAGGAGGGTTGTCACTCCCACCTGTGAGCTCCAGTGGCCAGCACAGGCCCAGCACATAGTAGGCACTCAGTGCATGTTCGCTATGGACTGAATCGCCATTGACCCAAGTCTTCAAAGGTTCTTAGAAGGTAAAGAAAGAGGCCAAAGCTAAAGAAAGCAAAGTAGGAGTTAAGATGAATTGATATTTCAGTGTGTTCAATCTGTTGAGTGAGCTGATAAGAGAAGGTTCCCAAGTGTGAGTCTGTGGCCAGTTGCTGACTTCCGGGCTAGTTTAATGTGCAGACACATGGTGGCAGTGAGACCATCTGGTAGACAAGCTGAGCGACTTAGGCTCATCCTTAACCCTCTGCAGTCTGACCCAGGCCCATTTTCTCCTCACTTGCAAGCCCTGCACTGTCCCATTTCTGGGCCTTATTGTTCTAGCTACACCAAGCAGTCTCATGCACCCAGGGTCTTACTGGTCCTGCTGTTTCCTCATCAAGAAGGTCTGGCCCCATGTCTACATATTAAAACTTTCCTCATCTTTCAAGAGTCTGTTCAGAGGTCATTCTTCCCATTGAGATTCCGTGTGTCCCCAGACAAAAGAATCCTCCTTCTCTCAAGCATCCTGGGAGCACAGATCACCTCTTGTAAGACCCTCATCACGGATTCTTGCTCAGGACCAGAGAAACAGTCATTTCCAGTGGATTCTTTCTTTTATCAACCTAGGAGCTCTTCTTTTTCACTTCTGTGTCATCTGTTTCCTTCTACTGACCTTTATATAGACAACTGCCTTTAACATTTGTCCAGTTACAATGGTGTCAAGTAAATTTGATGCACAAACATCATAAAGGATCAAAGAATCTGTCTCATATTTTTTTAGCACAAGATGGTCCAGATTCTTGAGACAAAATGTTACATATGAAGTCCTTCCTGTTGAATGACGAATTAAATGAAAATACCATATTTCCTTTTGTCCTTATAAACCGTTTACTCTTGAGTTTGAGAAAACTCACCTTCAGACACTGTCATCTTGTAGTCTGAGACTTTACTTACACAATCAACTTACTGTCATTGTTAGAGTCTAAAGAGTTGTTCTCCTTCTCTTTGAGTTCATCTTCTGAGTCATCTAATAATTGTGAAATGTTGTTCTCTGTCACTTTTCTTCTCTTTGCAAATATGAAAAATTCTAAATTCTCAACTGTATGCAATGAGCTAAAAGCAGACTCAAAATAAATGATGATTTATTTCATTACTGAATCATCCCTCCAGGCCATTTCATTCTTCTGTTTTATTACTTTGGTCTCTTTTAGCATAATTGGGAATAATTGATGAGTAATAATGAAAGATAATTCCCAGGATGATGAAAGAGCAAGATATTTCAAAAGATAGGAGAAATAAGATCACAAAGATGTCATCGTGCATCATAGATTTATGAAATGGTCCAATGAACCCACATAGTAATTACAAGATAGAATGAGTTTTATTTTATTTTTTAAAAATAAGTAAATTTTCTCTGTGTTATTTGGAAACCCTTCAAGAAGGAGTGAAAGCAATGAAATATCAAGCCTTTTAAATAGAGCAACTCAAAGATGAAACCCAAAAACTAAAGTTGGGTCTAATGGACCCTAATGGTATACTGAGAGTTATCGTGTTAAAATTCCATACACGTCTGTCCAACTTAAAGTTAAGGATAGATTGAGAGTCACCATCTCCCTGTCTTCCTGAAGTTTCCCAGGCCAAGTCAGGGATCTACTCCTATAAGAAACTTCGGAGGTGTTCACCAAATGGAATAGTAGGAGCCGAAGGTGTCATTATTAAGCTGGGACTGTAATTATCAAGGGAATGCCATACATTATTGCCTACCTAAGTGCAAGGACCTCACATCATCTCAAAATCTTTGCCCTTAACCTATAATACCATTCATCTGCTCTCTCCCTTTTAGCTGGGCAACTGCTATGCTTTAAACAGCACTTCCACTTTGAACATCCCTTCCACAAGGAAGCTTTCCCAAACTTTCAGGCCTGCCGTTAACTGCCCCTTAATGGGCTATTAGAACTACCATGTCACCTCCACCTGAGGGCTGCCAACCAGGTGTGCTCAGCCTTGTACCATCAGCACAAGGCGGGCACTCAGTAAGCATCTTGTGAATGAAAAACAATGAATTCAAACATGTTTCTGAGTACAGATGCTCCACTGCCTGACCCCTGGAACAGAGTGTTAAGGTACACATGTTTGAGAAAGTAAAAGTGAAAAATAAAAGCTCACATGTAGAGACAGTAGATCAAGTTAAGAGAGCTTGGTTTTCCTGGACTGTCCTTTCCTGGGGTTGACTGGGAACAAACAAATCTGACTATGGCAGAGGAGTCCTCAGCTCATGCTTCCGGCTTGCATTTAGGTGTCGGGTGATTTGTCAGAGACTGACCTCAGTAATGAACCTCAGCAACCTCGGACCAGCGTGGCCACCACCGAGGAGAAACTGAGAAACAGGCTGTATGAGTTAGCAATGAAAATGAGTGAGAAGGAGACGTCTTCGGGAGAAGATCAGGAGTCAGAGCCCAAGACGGAGTCTGAGAACCACAAGAAAAGTCTGTCCTCTGAAGACAACAGCCAGGGCGTCCAGGAAGAGCTGAAGAAGGTAAGGGCTGTGAAGGCAGCTCCATGTGTGCAGCAGGGGCATGGGGAGGTGGGCAGAGGAAGTTCTGTATTTGCACAGAGTTGTGCTGGGCTCCCCATGAGCTGTCTCTCAAACGCCCATCCCATGCATGCAGGAGAGCCCCAGAAACTCCTGCTGATTCGAGCTAAGTGGTTCAATCCAGGAAAGGGCCCCGCGGGTCCCAGGCCTCCGAGACCCGTCCTGTCCTTCTACTAACTATCCTTCCCAGTCTATACTGGGAACTACCCTTCAAGCCTATAATTAATGCTCACAGTCTCTCTTGCTGATAAAGGGCCATGCTACTTCTTCCTTCCCCCGCCCTTTCCCAGAGGAACTTTGCCTGTGGGTTGAGAGCATCTCGCCATCTCCCTTTTAGTCAACAGCAATGTTTCAGACCATGATCTTTGTGCTAAACGTGACCTGCTATGTCATTTATCCCTGAGTTTGCATATTTGGGCTTGTCTTAGCCTCAAAATCATTTTCCAAACAAGCCTTATTTGGAATCCTGGTGTTTAAAATAGGTAAAAGCCCCCAAAACCCAACCATTTGATCTCCAGTCCCAAACCACCCCCCTAACTACCCAAGGGCATTGCTAGGAAACCACAGAAGGAAGAACCCCCTGGAAGAAAGGGGGGGGTCCTGGGCCCCTACCCCGCAATCAGTGCTCTACCCCCATTCTTTCCTCTACAGCTTCTCCAAGCACATCCCTGTAGACTTGGCCACTGGACAGTCAGGCTATCCCTACTGCTTCCAGTGGAAGAGAAGGAAGCTAACATTTGTTGAGTGCCTAGTGCTTTGCTTATGTTAATGAATTCATTTCATAAAAACCCTTTGAAGGTGATGCAGAGGCTTGTCCTGAAGGCACTTACGCAAGGCCCATAACTAGTCAGCTTCAGAACTGGGGCTGCATCCCAGACCTGCTTGGCCTCAAATCACAGGTCCCTTCTTTACTATGACGAGCTGTCTCTTCTGTAATCAGATAAGGTCTTGCCTGGAAACATGTAGATTTCTTGGCACTCGTGGTAGTTTTTTCCCCTCTTCTGAGAGTACATTATATAAGCTAACAAGTTCCTGGTAGTGCACATGAGTGGGGGAATGAGCTCCTTCATCTGCACAACAGCCAAGCTGGGGGAGGAGCCAGGCCAAGCCAGCAAAGAGCACGGATATGGCAAGAGCCGGTCAAGAGCCAACTGGGGGCCCTCTTCCACCGCAGAGCCCCTGAGCCCTCCGACAGCTCAGACTCTGCATCTCATTCATTCCCATCCCACCCTCCATAACCATCGAATTCTCCTAGTCCTCAGTCTGTCAGGTCCTCTGCCCAAGGATGTGCACACATCTGTCCCCTGCCATGTCTGTAGGCTGGAGGCCGGAGCGTGGCCTTCACAGGCAACCCCTCCCTGGGATGTGGGCTCCAACCCATCGCTTCCTCCGTGGTAATGGGCTCTGCTCCTCTCTGTTACTTGAACCAGTATCCCATGACAGTCACATTTGTCTGCCAGAACTCAGAGCCAGATGGTAACTGAGGAATATCATGGTATTTCTTACAATGCCTCTGCATCCTACTGGCTTTGCTGCCTGATGGTCACAAGGCTCCCCACAGGCCTGCTGTTCCAGCAGCCCGCCAGGCCATGATGAGTCATGGACTCCCAGCCCCTGTCAGCCTGCAGGCCTCACCGTCTGAAAGCAGAGCAGCCAGTCTGCACTCTGCTCTCTTGGGCAGAACGTGAACAGGGAAAGGAGGAGCCAGGGCAAGAAAAATCTAAGATAAGCCCCCGTTCTGCCCCGTGCCCTCACTGAGCAAGAAGCTAGGAGAGTTGCTTTTATTCAAGCTCCCAAATATGTCAGTTTCTCAAAATTTAAGTCTTCCCCTTGCCTACCATGAATCAGTGCATTAAAATATCCATCAGCTATCATTTATTGTATGTAAAAATCTGGGGAGCAAACTGAGAAAGATAATTAACATATATTTTCCTCATCAGGCATGGTTTACTCTGGGATGGGAACACAGAAATACAGGTTTATATCTTCACTATTATTTAGAAGCAAAAGGATATAGAGATAGGCTTCAAGATAAGACTGAACTCGAAATGCAACCATGCAATTTGCAAACTCTGCAAACTTTGGCTAGTGCTTAGAACAAGCCAAGGTGATTTCTTGCCTCCCACTGGACCCTGTCCCCCAGCTGCTCTCCCTATCCCTCCAGACCGTGCATGACTACTCCAGTTCTTCCTCCACTCCACAGCCACAACTGCCCTGCAGTCCCTGAGCTTGCTCTCAGCACTGAGACAGTCCCGCACCTGCTGTGTTTTTCAGCTGATCCCTGGGACTCAGCCCTGGGCCTCATGGTTGATTGCATAAACACATCTTGGCCTCATCTGTAAAATGAGGATAATCGTACTCCCTGATAGAGTTGTGAGGGTTGAATTTTACAGCATGGTGCTTAGCACATAGCAGGAGCCCAGCAAATACCAGATCCCCTATAAACCTCACGGCTGTGAGTTAACATCCATCCTGAGGTACTGAAGCAACAACTTAGTACCTATTTCCAGTTGACACCTGGCATGTCTAACATAGGTCTGTAACCACATCTGGGGTTTGGTCGTGCTAGGTAGAATATAAGTGGGAAGGCACTACATGAGAATGCCCCACGTTCCCATCTTCAGTATCAGAATAACTGTGACTTCCCCTGTGGGCCAACCAAAACTGATTTGTACAGCATGTGTGCACGTGTGCGCGCACACACACACACACACACACACACATATGGCTGGCACACAGCATGGTTTGGGAGTGGAACTGAGCTCGTGTAATGATTTCAGAAGTGGTCAGTGCTCCCCAATCTCTTTACTCTAGCAATGCATACTGGCCCAAAGTCTAGCTGCCTGAAGACCCCTGATGCAGCAGGAGCTTTTCTTCCTCTGCAAAAGTCAGGCTGAAAAGGGGAGCGAGAACCCCAGCTGGGAGCAGCCCCAGCTGTTTGGCCTCTGTGGGCATGGTAACTCTGGGGCAGAGCTGCATACTGACTCCCCGAGTTCCCCAGCCACCCGAGCTCTAGGCACCCAACAGAATGAACAGTCCTCCTCCACTCCCTTCCCTCCCCTGCCCCCACGTACCCCTCCTCCACCTTCTCCACCACTATTTCCAGGGATCGCCTCCCGCATGAACTAAATCCCTGTCTCACATCTGCTTCTGGGAAACCAGACTAAGTTGGTAACTAAACAGGAGAAATGCACGGTCCCCAGTTCACAAATCCTTCAGTGCTGTGTAGGCAGCGAAGAAATCCCAATGCCCAATTGGCTGCTAATTGCCTTTTCCTTATTAAGAGGAGCTTTGCCTTATGCAGAGAGAGGTTTGCTCAGCCATCACTGTCCCCCTGCCTCCCACACTGGCCCTGCTCTCTGGGAGCCAAAGCAGAGGAACGCGCATGTTCCCACAGACGCTGGATATCAGTGGCTGTTTAGTGTCTTTAGTATGACAACCCACATAAGAACCGGGGCTTTAGAATCCTGCCCAGCGGCAGAAGAACCATTTTATCTTGACTGGATTCAGTCCTTTGCTGTAGGCAAACTTGTCCTATAGGTGGCTCACTTTCTCTGGGGGTTGGAGGGTGGTACCTACCTTCTGAATTTTAACCAATGGAAGAACACACTTGCAGAGCTAGGAGGAGCCCAGAAACCTCTTGGGTGCTGGATTCCCAAAGAATCATTGTGTCCTTTAAGTCATTTTATTCCATCAAAGCTTAGGGGTCAACCCCCTAAACCATGTGATCCTTAGAGCCCAGAAGTGAGCACCACCTCTACCACTGGGCAGATGGCCATGCCAATGGTTCTGGGAGAAAGTCCTGGCCAAAGCAGTTCTTAGAAGGGTCTGCATCTAGGTATGCAAGGGCAGCATTCCTGAAGAAGCCAAGAATGGCCAAGAACTCCTGGCCTGAGTTTGGAGACTACGTTCAGAGGCTGGATTTCGCACAAGCCCGTAATCTTCCCAGGCTTGGAGCACTGGTCCCCCAGGTCCCTTCTGGCTCCCAAATCCCCTGGTTCTAGAAATGTAACAGATTAGATAGATATTTTGTTTCCTGACCTAAGTATCTTTTATGACACTGTTTATATGACAAAAGATGTCCCATGTATCAAGCTCTTAGAATATGAATGTCTGTTGAAGGCCCAGATTAGTTAGTTCTTGCATTATAGTAAAATTTGTATAGCTGGTGTCCTGAAAGCATTTTATTTAAAGTGCCTTTGTTTATAACCATTAGAAGTCGCTGGATCATTGGGCTGGGAGTCACAGACCAGGAGATAGCTCCCATATGTATAGTTTCACGGAATAATTCTCATCATAAGTATTGAGAGCTCCCTAAATTATTATATGTCTTTCTTCCCAAACAAGAGATGAATTTATGCATCTTCTTCTGTCTGCTCATTTACTAACACTAAGGAACAGGGATACATAATCCCGGTCAGTGATCAAGGAGACAGATCTATTGACTATTCCAACATACCCAGAGCCTTTTGTTTCTGAATTTTAATGTGCTCATGAAAACCTTTTTGTTGATATCAGTGTTAACATAAAGTCAACTGTATCTATGTGTGTCTCACCCCTGTAAAATAACACACGTTCATGTAAGGATTCAGTGTCTTTCATCCCAGGTCACATTCTATTTCAGAGTGTCTTCATCTCTAGTTGGTGCTAGAGAGAATATAGTGTTAGGTACTGACTTGTATCTTACAAGTGATTGATCTCAGTAGGCCTATGCCTGTTAAAGAATTAACACCTCTTTTCTAACTCTCCATTTTTTTTAAAGATTTTATTTATTTATTTGACACACAGAGATCACAAGTAGGCAGAGAGGCAGGCAGAGAGAGAGGAGGAGGCAGGCTCCCTGTCAAGCAGAGAGCCTGATGCGGGGCTTGATCCCAATACCCTGGGATCATGCCCTGAGCCGAAGACAGAGGCTTTAACCCACTGAGCCACCCAGGCGCCCT